AACATTCGCACTCTCTCTCTCTCTCTCTCTCTCCTTCCTTCCTCCTCACATAGGAGGCTGTCTGGCATCGCCGCACGCACCCACGCGTGAAACTCAACTGAACGTCTCCCCCGTAGCGACTAAAAGCCTTTACCGCCGCATCGCTTTCACGCGCCGGCAGTGGAAAGACGATTTTTAAATTCACAGCGACGTGGCCACCCAGGTTGAAAAAAGGTGACAATGGCCTAGACGCGAGGACACTAAGGAGAAGTGACGGTAATTGAGACCTGGGTTAGGTGTGAGGAAGATGGCACGCCTAGTAACGTCAGCACCATGCCGTCAGCGTAATGCACTTATCACTCAGTCACACCTACATCACGTTGTACACACCTCACACCCACCCCCACAGTTATCATAGATAGCACAAACATACTACTAACCACTCCTCACCTACCACACATCCATCACACTATTTCGCTAATTAACCCCCTAATTAATTCCCTAATTCGACTAATTACCTACCACAGGTAATACAGCTGTTATACCAACCCACATCTACCGCATCTTGTTATTAATTTCTGTTATACTTAAGACACTACCTACTTGCTCTCTAGTTGGAATACGACAAAGGCAAGACGGTCCACCTCCCATTCCTGTCCGTGTCACGTTATAGTTTAGACGTGTGTTCTAGACGTTAGACAGTGTTACACGTACGTCTCATAGTCGCGTACCTGTATCACGCGTGCGTGCGCGCACACACACACGCACGCACGCACGCACACGCACACGCACACACACGCAACACCTTGCTAGCACACTCACCTTGTGTGAAACCTGCATGCCCGTCTCCTGGAAGTTCATGATGGCATCAGATATTTTCACGTTGATCGGTTCGACGACGGACTCTATGTTGAAGGGACCCTTCAGCCGCAAACCCAGCTTCTGCAGTTCACCTGGAGACAGAGGGAAAGCAAGGTTACACCACAGTCTATCATGATTACTGTTCACATCGTGTGTGATTAAAAACGGCTTTTATAGCATTTTTATTTATTAACACTGATATTACCACAGTGACTTGTTAATTCTGCTTATAGCATGTGGCACAATAAATAAATAAATGCTTACATCCTGAGCGATTATAAATAGTTTATATCATAGGGATATAATACATGGCATTTAAACCTGGGGCAATTATGTTTATATCACACTATAATAAATTCTGCTTAAAATTCTGAAGCCAAGATACATAAATAGGAGGTAAATTCCAAGAATTTTATTATATTAACACAATTTTGATGGATGCTGGCGCCATCTGTCAACCTCGATCTTGCAATTGCCCCCTAGTCCTAACCTTCAGCTGCACATTCCTTTATCCGTACACTATAGGCTATCCGTACACTATACTAGTTTCTACGTTTACAACGAGTGTTCGGAGAAAATCGTAAATAAGCAGGAAATAGACAGCAAATAAAAACTCGAGGATAAATTCCCCCCCACCCAACTCCCTCAGCTGCAGCGACCCGCATCGCCTGCGGAATCCATAAATTTCGTTTTTATAGCATATCATCTAAAGTGCATGATTACAAATCGGTCACTACGGGCACTAGGTACACAACGAAATCGCTTTTTCTCCCATGGCCCATCTCTCTAATACACGTTTTTTTGACTCCGTTACACCTCTTTACAGCTTGTAATCAAATGGCTTCCCCCCATCCACCCACCCGCCAAAAACAGGGTGCATCTCATTGAATATTCATCACTGCCTCGTTTCATTGTCTCGCTCATTTCCAGCAGCAGCACCCCGCCGCTAACGCCACGTTACATAGCAGCCGCATCCCAATGACAGCATCCCAATGACAGCATCACAATGACCGCATCCCAATGACAGCATCACAATGACAGCATCCCAATGACCGCATCCCAATGACCGCATCCCAATGACCACATCCCAATGACAGCATCCCAATCACCACACCTCAATGACAGCATCACAATGATTTCATCCCAATAACAGCATCCCAATCACCACATCCCAATGAGAGCATCACAATGATTTCATCCCAATCACCACATCGCAATGACGATTTCTCGTGGATAGGCTTAACATGAGAAATGATGGAGATCGAGTGAAATCAAACTCTGCTATAGAGTGAATGTTCATTTTTGCCCGATTGAAAACTAGTGAGCAATCTATTAGAGTGGATTTCGCTCTTAAAATAAGAGTGAATATAATACGCTTGCGCATACACGTGCAATGCTATAATATAGGTATGTTATAAGGGGGGGGGGTTATGTGCGTTTGATATCACGTCTCCAGACGACACTTTTAAATAGATTGACATTTCCAGTCGTTTTACATGTAAATATACTACAACCACCCAAATGCACGCGCGAGCACACACGTACACGCACGGACGCACGCACGCACACACGCACGCACTCACACACGCACGCATGCACACATGCACGTACTCACGCACTTACGCACACAACCACTCACACATGCACACACACTCATAAG